GACATGACTAATAAACAAATAGATATAAAAAATAAATGTGACATTTTAAGAGATAATATGTAAATTTGTTAAAATCTCCAATAAATACGAAGAAATTAAATACATTTTCACTATAATTATATTGACATTGTGTTCATACTTTTAAGTTTGGTTTGTAAAGAGGAAATTAATTTTAAAAAATAGCATATAATTGCAAGTAATTACAAATATAGATGAGAAACGAGCTGCATTTTGATGTGTCTATGTAAACAGTGATATTAAATATTGAAAATTCACTTTTCTTAAAAGTTTTCTTCTTTCTGACATAAATTCAATTATGGCGCATTTCATTCAAGCAATAACAACTAAAACTGTCAAAAAATTGTAATGAAAAATCAATTTAAATGTATCTTTTTGTTTCTGTGGATTTTTATAATTATTGTCATAAGTATACTTTCCCATGTATTCTAAATAGATTATTGTTCATTCTACATATTTTGATTTTATTATCTGTTTCTCAGTTATGTAGATTCTAAGAGGATTTATATACCATAAATTTTCTATGTATAATATGCCTTCATCCATAATACTCACCCCTAAAATTGTGCTGAAAGTGTGGGAAAATGCTTCTACTCATGCATAATACGCACCCCTTATTTGGTAATCAAACCCTATAAATTGTAACTCCCCAATTTCATTACAGCCAATGTTTTCTACTTTTATTTAAAAAAAAAATGGTTTTAAACATAGAATAATTTTATTCTAATTTAGTTTTATGATAATTCTTATTTTATTTTACATTTGTAAGTATTGTTAAGTACATATGATTGTATTTGACATCCTTATGGGGATCAGATTTGTCGTGAGTAGTTATTTCGCATCTAAAATCAACCTATGAAACGGCAATTTTTTTAAAGATTTTTTGTTGCTGTGCATAATACACACCCTTAATTTTGCTTATCATATTTTAGAAAAAATGCATATTATACATGGGGAATTATGGTAAGTGTTTATTTATAAATAAATACTTTCAGTCTTGTAAAAATGTCTTTGAAAACATTTATAGAAGTATGCAATCCTGACAAATGCCTCAAATTCAAGGGATTTTTCCCTATATTATTTCATATAACTGTATAACTCCATGCCTTCTTCAATATCTGTGTCCCTTCAGTTATTCCAATGTAATGTCAATCGACATCTCCAGTTGCATTGATCTATCCACTATCCTTCTCCTCATCTTTTCCTCTATCACTCCTATTTGATCTTGATCCAAATCTTCTGTAACCCCTTGCATCCTAGTGGCTTCCTGCCTTGCTTGGGATGAAACACTTAAAAAAAATATACAATCCAGGACTAAAGATGCTGGAAAAATGGTCAGACTCTTTACCACTCCAGTAAGTACTTGACTCATCCTATTATTGTCTATCTTTACATGAGTCTAATCAGGCCGAAAATGGAGTATTGCTGTCATATATGGGCAGGAGCTGCTAAGTCTTTACTTTCCACCTAGCTAATATTACCATAAAAGATGAGGAGAACAGTTACTACACTTTGATCCCAGCCCAATGGCCAGTGAGTGAAGAATGGTGTAAGTCAAATATCACCTTTAGCTCAAAGAGCAAATAATAATATAATCAAGATATTAACGTCGGGTAGTATTTCAAAAAAAGGCTACAAAGGAATTGACTACATCAATACTGGAAAGAGTGATAACAGTTACTGGACTGGAGAAACCTGTTTTTCTAAAAAAAAAACTGTTTTACGAGAAAGATTTTATAAATTTCAACCAAAAGCAATACTGGCTGTTCAGTCAATGAATGCCAAATGTTTCCTTATAGGGAAATGGCTCTTGTGAAATAACAGAGACCATATCACTTTTGGACTACCAACAGCAGCAGCAAATAAAATGGATAGCACTTGTAACTTGAAGAGAAAGTAATGACATAAAATGTTAATATTCCAGTCTGCTTCAAATAAAACTTTAAGAAAGAATCCCCCTCTGTCAATACTGGAAAGAGCAATAACAGCTACTGGGCATGAGAAATAGTTTCAAGGAAAAGATTTAGTAAATTTTTATCAAGAGTGGTACTGGATGCTCATTTAATGAAAGCCAAATGTTTCCTTATAGGGAAACAGTTAATATTACCATTTAGAAACTTAAAAAAAACGTGTTTCATTTTGATAACAGATTTTCAAATAAAATTGTTTTTCAGATGTTGACAGATCCTTCTTCTGTATGCCATCTCCCTTCAGGACTTTGGTGATCAAGTCTCTCCACAATTTCCTGTCCTTTGTAACTCTTAATAAATTTTATTATTTTGTAATCCCTCTTAAAACTTACTCTGCCATACATTTACTTAAACTCGGTAAGTAGGTTATATGTTGTTCTCTTTCAAGCTGTCCTGTGAGTATCAAATTTTACAAGCCCTCCTCCCTCGTTATATGACCCCAAAATGATAACTCTCTTTTTCTGAGGTTAAGTCCAAGTATTTGCCCTAAAACTTTGTTTTTGCTCACATGTTCAGTCCATGGTATTCTCAGCATCCTTCTGTAGAATCATTTTTTTTGTTGCTTTGAATCTCTTCTTTATCTATGAGAAGATTGTCCAGCATTCAATGTTCACAATTATCAGTTGCACTCTTTGAGAACTTTGGAGTTCATGCCTGATCAACTAATAGCAATTTATTTGGTACATGGAGGTCTGATATATTATCAGAATTCTTTTCTTTTGTGTGCCTTGACCATTCAGGACTTGGGTGATCACGTTTCTCCACAACCACTTATCCAAAACTCCAAACGCCAGTTCAACCGACCTTTCACCCAAAATGAAAATAGAGTACTGTGGCCATATTTGGGCAGAAGCTGTCCAATCCACACTCTCCAGTTTTGTTCAAAAGCGTCTCTGGGTTCTTGGGGGTGACAAATTATTTTTCACCCTCCAGCCTCTCTCACAGGTGGGATACGGCGAGCCTCTCACTGCTCTATTACTACTTCCATGAAAAGTGCACAAACACATTCCTTGGTTCTACCAGGTCTAATCTACATGGCTAGGACCTGCCATGCCACTTGTAACAAACCACAGTCATTCCCTCCGTATTCCATTAGTGAGAAGTAAATTTCACTCAAACAGCTTCTTTCCACAAATCACTGCTCTGTGGAACTCCCAAGAAGATGTTTCCCCTGATCACTACAATCTTATCTGGTTCAAGTTTAGAGTTAACTATTATCTACTCCTACCCATATAAACTACCCCTTAATGTAAACTCTCTATCTTGAGTGGCCCCAGGGCCTTTTACAGTGTAAACCTTACTGTAAAAAAAAAAATATAATAAAAAAGCTCATCAGATAAGTGATCCACTACCTTCCCCTGTCCCTTCTGCATTTGATATGTCCTGTGAGTGTCAAATTCTTCAATCCTTCCTTCCTCATTATGTATCCAAGAAATTTCAGCTGTCTCTGATTTTGAGTGTAAAAGACATTTTTGTATCCATTTTCCTAATGATTTCTTTGTTGTTTTCATGCTTCAGTCCATGGTATTCTCAGCATCCTTCTATAGAACCACATTTCTGTTGATTCCAGTTTTCTCTTCAAATGTGAGGACATTGTCCAGCATTCAGTCATATGGGGAAACAGTATTACATAACAATTAAGCATTAGGTGTCCTTAAAACTTTGGATCATCAGTGTAGATATATATCCAGATAAAAAAAAAATATAACTTGCTTTGTGGAATAGATTCCCAAGTGATGTTTCCTTGACCACTACAATCATAACCTCTTCAAGTCCAGTGTAACCATTATCTATCCTACATATCCTCATAGTATGCACTTATAAACACCCCCTTCATTCTCTCTAACAGAAATCTCACTCAGAATAAATTTAGTAGATGAGAAAATGAAATTAAATATAAAATCTGGACAAGAGATAATTTCATCCATCATCACAAATTGCTAAAAAAACCAAGCATTAACCTGAAAACTTGAGTTATGTTCTTAAATAGCCTCGTCATATCAAGATTTTCATATAGGTGTTATGTATGGTGCCAAACCAATTCATGTGTATCTAAATTCTCAGCTATATACAACCGTCTTCTCAGATCAATGATTAAAAAAGGCTTTGCACAATTGAAACCTGTGTGTCTTAGCAAAGAACATCCTTCTTTGAAGCTTGTGGAATGGTGCTACAGAATCTCAAAGAACTGCGCTAAACAACAAAAATCACATCAACAGCAGTAAGAGCTAAAATGGATATCACATGTAATTTGAAAAAAAATATAATGAAATAATCAAGATGTTAACTGTTGTAGCATACATATGGATGATAATGTGTATGTCCCCATTCACATAATTACAGTAGTAAATACTGTATGTTGATCTGCAGTTGGAGATTCATTGAGGAATTCACTTGACTCCCTTCTAGCAGTTGATTACTCCTTTACACACTACTGTAGCAAATTTTATGTGTGTTGTTCTTGTCCTAAGTATTATCATTCATTACCAACATTTGTGTGATTATTCTATTCAATAACCTTCCCTAGGTTACAACAGATATATCGATACGAATAGAGTGGAATAGATAGATAGTGCTGTAGCATACCTACAGATGATAATGTGTATGTCCCCATTCACATAAATACAGTAGTAAATACTGTATCTTGGTCTGCAGTTGGAGATTTATTGTGGAATTCACTTGACTCACTTCTAGCAGTTGATTACTTCTTCTACACATCACTGGCAAATCTTTTATGTGTTGTTCTTGTCCTAAGTATTATTGTTCTTTATAAACCTTTGTGTGATTATTCCATTCAGTAACCTTCCCTAGCTTACAACATTAACATTCCACAGTACTTCAAGTTGAAGGTAAGGAAAACCATGATAGTTTGGTGGGGGGAGAAGAAGTGGATAATACTTTTACCTGTTGTGCCTAAGTGAATGTAATGAATCAAGCTGGAAATGGAACTCAGCTCTCTGATTAACAATTCCAAGCCATTATCCATTGCACAACCCTCACATACAAACTTATGGCACCTGGTTTTCTCAAGTAGTCACCCATCTAGGTACTGAACAGGTTCAAAATTGCTTAACTTTGGTGATTTTATGGGAACCAATGTTTCAATGTGATATGGCCATAAGCCTTGATCTAATGAAGAAAAGGTATGAATGGACAATACTTGCAATCTATCAAAATAGGTAGATAAGTATGAATGGACTGACTTTGGTGATCATAGCTCTCCACAATTTCCTCTCCTTTGTAGCTCTTAATAAATTTTATTGTTTTGTTATCTCTCCCAAACCTGCCATTCATTTACATTAGTTTGCTAGATAGGTTATGTGTTGTTTTCTTTCAAGCTGCCCTGTGAGAATCAAATTTTACAAGCCCTCTTTTCTCATTATATGCCCCCAAATTATTATCTCTCTCTTTCTAAGGTTAAGTCTAAGTATCCTTTTTGTTTCCATTTTCCCTAAAACCTTTTTTTTTCTCACATGTTCAGTCCATGGTATTCTCAGCATCCTCCTGTAGTATCATTTTTTTGTTGCTTGAAACTTCATCTCTGAGAAGATTGTCCAGCATTCTATGTCCGGTCATCATCTGCACTCTTTGAGAACTTTGAAGACTATGCCTGATCAAGTAATAGAAATTTAGTGTGTACATGGATTATTTTTCTGCCTTATCAACCCTTTTAGGAGCTATTTAAAGTTGAAACATAGTCTGGATTATAGGAATAAATCTTATTTTGGGAGTGAATATAGCATTAACATTTGTTTTTTTTAGAATAACAATGATTTTTTTTACAGATACAAGTCCTACAACTTAACCCCTGGCAGACTTGGACCTTCAAGCACAAAGAACAAAGTGTCAAAAGCAGTTTTTCCATTTACACCCTTTAAAGCCTAAGGGTCTTGGTAAAAATCATGCTTCATTAGAGACTGACACTAAAGAATCACAAACAAAGAACTGTACTAAATAACAGAAAATACATTATTTGACTGACTACTATCAGTAACAATAACTGAAATGGATATCACATGTAACCCTAAAAGAATACAATAATATAATCAAGATGCTATCGTTTGACATTACTTTCAAAGATACATTACTGGAGAAACTTGTTTTCCTAAAATAATGTTTGAAGAGAAAGATTTTCTAAATTTCAAACAAGAGCATTACTGTCTGCTCATTCAATGAATGCCAGATATTTCCTTGTAATGGCACTTAGGTCTTGTATTGTAGGAACTAAAATTTAAAAAAAATGGAAATTTCATCCTATACAAATCAAGACATGTCTTTTTATTCTCACGTACTGTAGACTATGAATTATAACAGATGATGTCTACATTATGTGAAGAGGAGACTTTTTCCTGCCATTATTTAGGTATTGTTAAGATAAATGGCTTATTTCCTGAATTTTTTCTCACAGCAACTTGTATCAAATATGAAATATATTTGATTAATTCCTTTTGATACTAAGTTCTAAGCATTTTTGTACAAGGTTTATGCAGTTGACGAATGACCCCTTTTATTTTTTGCAAATTCTGATTAAAAAATAAAAATATATGTTCATATCTTATTTCCTTTTTCATTAAATTGATAACATTTGCTTTACATCTGAGGCCAGACTTTAAACAAAGAATAAAACCAGAAGTAAAGAATTGGCATTTGAAATGCTCAAGTTAATTGTTTTCTCTAAAGTGACATTTAAATTCTTTTTATTTTCAATTATATTTTTTCATTCATTTAATGCAAAATAGGAAAGAAGATTATTGATTCTTTAATAATGTTTGGTTTGTATTTATTTATTTTGGATTCTTTTTCTGGATTTGAATAATTTTAAAAATAGAGAAAACTGAGTAGTTTCTTTTTCTTGAATGCAAATACTGATTGATTTTTTTTTTTTTTTTTAAATATTTTTCCTGGAAACTTTGGAAATTCAAATGCAACAAGACCAGGCAAATTTTAAAGAGTTTTTTTTTTCAATTTTAGTAAATGTTCAATGACATGTTATGCAGAAATAACTTTTGCCAATGAATTATATATTGAAATTTAGTAACACATTCATTGAATGCTGTAAGAAGATGAGACAACTGCCAAAAATTATTAAGAGTTTTTTTTTTTTATTGGTGTCTGTGATTGGTATCAATGAGTATAGATTTTTTTCTTAAAAGTATCAAGTTCAAACATTTTAAATAATTTAGTCTTTTCTGAAATTCTGCAATTAATAATATTCAATTATTTGATCTCAGATCTTCAAATTTTCTTTCAGACAGAAAACCGATTACATTTGTTTACCAAGTTCTGAGGTTAAGCAGTGTGATTATTCAAAGAATTATTTCGATTAACATTGTTGTTTTGATTATTGCATCTTTGGTTAGAGTATTGATTGAAGACGTTTTCAAAGTTTCTGGAGAAAAAAAAAACTTAAAATCATATTAAGTGAAACTATAATATAATAATTTACTGAGTTGTTTTTATGTCTTATCAACCCTTTTGTGGGTTATTTAAAGCCAAAATATGTTTGGGATTGTAAGAATAAGAGTAACTGAATATTGTAATTTTTTGAGATGCAATGATTTTTCCTGATACAAGTCCTACTATTTAACCTATAGGTAGGTATATACCATATAATAAAATATAATAAGCAATATAATAATATAATAAGTGCAATTTATAATATAATGAAAAAAATAAAAACAACATAAAATAATAAAAAATAATAACTAATATAATAAATAAGGCTATAAGGGAAATAGCTATGGTAGAAAGATTTATTCTCCCATTCTCATTTCCACCGTTACAGAATTATTATATCCATGATATAATAATACCGTAGTCCACAGAAAAAGCAGAATACCTGAAAGAAAAAAGAATAACAAACATGCTTTGCTCTTTCAAAAATCGATAAATTCAACTTTTTTTCTCAAACTTGGTATGTAGGTTACTTACATCATAACAAGCTCAATGATACCTCATTTTTATTTCTATGCCACTGTGTTTAGCAAAAACCCGTGAAAAACAGAAAATTGATTTCAACACAAATTTTAAATTAAAAACTCCCTCAATTTTCAAGCAATCTAATACAAACTTCACTCAATTGTAGCCAATAATAAGTTGATTGTTTAACAGCCATTTAACTTGATGAGTCCCCTATATAGTGAAAACCCACATTTTTACTGGTTTCTTTCTTATTTTTTGTGGATCTTTCAACCAATTTTCATCAAACTTAACAATTGCTTTATAAATGTATCCTCTTTTACATCCCCAGTTGCACACTAACAAATTGAATTTCAAAAACTCCAAAATAATTGTAGTCTGAAGTGGATCTTTATGTTGCCTGTTTTACCCCTTCATGTCCTCAGCTAACTTTGATTGAATAAATACAGGCTACTTCTGTTATATCTGTAACTGAATTAATTCAAAATGTTTTTTTTAATGAAAGTACTTTAAATAATTAAAGAAGATAGATTCTGTTAAATCTAAACATGATTCTCTTTTTGCTCTATTCTAATTTAATGATTTTTCTGATCAACCAACTGGGTATGGCTGCTAGTATATACATATATAGAAAGGTCCCATGCAGAGAATAATATATCACATATATCTACACATCACGCAGAGTATAAGTTGAAACAAAAAGGATGGGTTTTACATATAATATGGAGATACCCCTTTGTCTGGAGAATTCATGCTCAGGACAATAGATTCAAACTATCTGGATACATCTATGCCCCAGGAGAGGACATATTCCATGAACGGGAAATAGCAAGCCTTGAGTTTTCCCAAATTAAGCACTTCAAGCTAGAGTTTCTTAGTAAAAATGTGAAAGTTATATTTGTAAAGGGAAACAGCACCATGGACTTGTAAGTTGCTAGGGAGGCAGATTTAGTCTCTGCTTAGGCCATGGTGCATCCAGGCTAAAGAAAGCAACCTTTCAGTTTGCCTGCTGTAAACAAACTGAATTTAACTGCTGCTTTGTCACCGTATGGAGTGATGTCATGAAGCTGTCTATGACATGACCCACGTAACTTATCTCCACCAAAGTGAGATAAGTGCCTTCTGTATCCCTACAAGGCTAACAATATAATAAGCAATATATGATTAAAATATAATTAATTAAACAAGAGTATAAAAACAATTTAATAATTATAAACAAAATCATATTGACTAAAACTATAAAATAACAAATTCTATAATAAAATACAATAAACATTGTAATAAAAACAATAAGTAATAATGAAATGAAAATAATATAAATATTTGGGAAAATACTGAGAACAATTTATAATATAATAAACAATATAATTAAATAATAAAACCAGTTAACATAATGTTATACAAACAATAATATAATAAGCAATAAAATAATATATTTAAAAATACAATAAAACAAGAATATAAAAACTATATGATAAAATATAAACTATAAATAAAATAAACAGTATAATTATAATTATTTTTTTTACTATCATGCGAATTTTTGTCACTTTATTTGATATTATTTTTGTTTAATATAATTTATTATGTTTATTTATTATTTTCTCCATATTATTCATACAACTATAACTGATTTATATATATTATGTATTTGAGCAGCAATCTTTTATACAAGTTTCATTAAAAATGACTGATAAGATTCTGCATTTAAGTTTTTTATTTAATTTTTCTTGTTCTTATAATTTTCTTCTTTTTTAGAAATAAATTATGTAGAAATTGTCAGAATGTTCTGTATGTCCAAGCAAATTTAGCTTTATTTTGGCCATTATTAAGGATGATTTTATTTTTACTTTTAACTGAATTTATGGATTTTTTTTTTTATGTATGTATCTAGTGTTATAAGAATGTTTCTTTTTCCAACCACTGAATAACATCAACTATGAACATGGCCACAATGTGCTGAAAATGCATGATTTTTAACCACCACTAAAAAATTACCTGTTAATAGTGCAACTCCCTATTTTTTATATTAAAAAAAACTGATCATAAACTCACACTATACTTGAGTATCTAGAGTAAATATTTAGGGGAAATAAATATGACAAAGTAGATAAAGATTTCATGTGACACATTTCGGCCTTTGGGACTTCATCAGACTCAATTTATGTTTAGGTTGATGAGACTACACATGTTCATGAAGGA